AGTCCGGCCTGCCGGTTTCCCTGAACCCCTTCATAAATGTTACTTTTGCTCGCACTCCAATAGCACGTCAAGTATTAAAAAACCATTTGTCTCCATTCACTCCTATCAAACACGCTCATGCATGCCTGCTGGAAGTCCAAGCCCCTCGCACACATAACCTCCTTTACCCCTCCCTCCAACCTTTCCTAGGCCGACCCCTACCCCGCCTTTCCACTACAGACTGATATGCTCTTGAAGTCATTCTGTTTCAAATCCATTCTCTCTACAAAGTCCAAACCACCTCAACAACCCTTCCTCAGCCCTCTGGACAACAGTTTTGGTAATCCCGCACCTCCTCTAACTTCCAAACTACCCAATTCCTCTGCATTATATTCACCCCCCACACATTGCCCTCAGACATGACATCTCCACGCCTCCAGCCTTCTCCTCGCTGCAACATTCATCACCCATGCTTCACACCCATATAAGAGCGTTGGTAAAACTATACTCTCATACATTCCCCTCTTTGCCTCCAAGGACAAGTTCTTTTTCTCCACAGACTCCTAAGTGCACCACTCACCCTTTTCCAATAATCAATTCTATGATTCACCTCATCCCTTTTATAGACCCATCCGCTGACACGTCCACTCCCAAATATCTGAATACATTCACCTCCTCCATACTCTCTCCTTCCAATCTGATATCCAATCTTTCATCACCAAATCTTTTTGTTATCCTCATAACCTTACTCTTTCCTGTATTCACTTTTAATTTTCTTCTTTTGCATACCCTACCAAATTCATCACCAATCTCTGCAACTTCTCTTCAGAATCTCCAAGAACACAGTGTCATCAGCAAAGAGCAACTGTAACAACTCCCACTTTATGTGTGATTCTTTATCTTTTAACTCCACGCCTCTTGCCAAGACCCTCGCATTTACTTCTCTTACAACCCCATCTATAAATATATTAAACAACCACGGTGACATCACACATCCTTGTCTAAGGCCTACTTTTACTGGGAAATAATTTCCCTCTTTCCTACAAACTCTAACTTGAGCCTCACTATCCTCGTAAAAACTCTTCACTGCTTTCAGTAACCTACCTCCTATACTATACACCTGCAACATCTGCCACATTGCCCCCTATCCACCCTGTCATACGCCTTTTCCAAATCCATAAATGCCACAAAGACCTCTTTAGCCTTATCTAAATACTGTTCACTTATATGTTTCACTGTAAACACCTGGTCCACACACCCCCTACCTTTCCTAAAGCCTCCTTGTTCATCTGCTATCCTATTCTCCATCTTACTCTTAATTCTTTCAATAATAACTCTACCATACACTTTACCAGGTATACTCAACAGACTTATCCCCCTATTATTTTTGCACTCTCTTTTGTCCCCTTTGCCTTTATACAAAGGAACTATGCATGTTCTCTGCCAATCCCAAGGTACCTTACCCTCTTCCATTTCATTTATTAAATAATTGCACCAACCACTCCAAAACTATATCCCCACCTGCTTTTAACATTTCTATCTTTATCCCATCAATCCCGCTGCCTTACCCCCTTTCATTTTACCTACTGCCTCACGAACCTCCCCACACTCACAACTGGCTCTTCCTCACTCCTACAAGATGTTATTCCTCCTTGCCCTATACACAAAATCACAGCTTCCCTATCTTCATCAACATTTAACAATTCCTCAAAATATTCCCTTCATCTTCCCAATACCTCTAACTCTCCATTTAATAACTCTCCTCTCCTATTTTTAACTGACAAATCCATTTGTTCTCTAGGGTCCTTTACTTGTTAATCTCCCCTCCAAAAACTTTTTCTTATTTTCAACAAAATTTGTTGATAACATCTCCCCACTCTCTCATTTGCTCCCTTTTTACATTGCTTCAACACTCTCTTAACCTCTCTCTTTTTCTCCATATACTCTTCCCTCCTTGCATCACTTTTACTTTGTAAAAACTTCTCATATGCTAACTTTTTCTCCCTTACTACTCTCTTTACATCATCATTCCACCAATCGCTCCTCTTCCCCCTCCCGCACCCACTTTCCTGTAACCACAAACTTCTGCTGAACACTCTAACATTACGTTTTTAAACCTACCCCATACCTCTTCGACCCCATTGCCTATGCTCTCATTAGCCCATCTATCCTCCAATAGCTGTTTATATCTACCCTAACTGCCTCCTCTTTTAGTTTATAAACCTTCACCTCTCTCTTCCCTGATGCTTCTATTCTCCTTGTATCAAATCTACCTTTTACTCTCAGTGTAGCTACAATTAGAAAGTGATCTGATATATCTGTGGCCCCTCTATAAACATGTACATCCTGAAGTCTACTCAGCAGTCTTTTATCTACCAATACATAATCCAACAAACTACTGTCATTTCGCCCTACATCATATCTTGTATACTTATTTATCCTCTTTTTCTTAAAATATGTATTACCTATAACTAAACCCCTTTCTATACAAAGTTCAATCAAAGGGCTCCCATTATCATTTACACCTGGCACCCCAAACTTACCTACCATACCCTCTCTAAAAGTTTCTCCTACTTTAGCATTCAGGTCCCCTACCACAATTACTCTCTCACTTAGTTCAAAGGCTCCTATACATTCACTTAACATCTCCCAAAATCTCTCTCTCTTCTCTACATTCCTCTCTTCTCCAGGTGCATACACGCTTATTATGACCCACTTTTCGCATCCAACCTTTACTTTAATCCACATAATTCTTGAATTTACATATTCATATTCTCTTTTCTCCTTCCATAACTGATCCTTCAACATTACTGCTACCCCTTCCTTTGCTCTAACTCTCTCAGATACTCCAGATTTAATTCCATTTATTTCCCCCCACCGAAACTCCCCTACCCCCTTCAGCTTTGTTTCGCTTAGGGCCAGGACATCCAACTTCTTTTCATTCATAACATCAGCAATCATCTGTTTCTTGTCATCCGCACTACATCCACGCATATTCAAGCATCCCAGTTTTATAAAGTTTCTCTTTTGTCCCCCTGTCCCTTAAATAAAGAAATTATACATGCTCTCTGCCAATCCCTAGGTACCCTCCACTCTTTCATACATTTAGCGAACAAAAGTAGCAAACACTCCAAAACTATATTCCTCTTGCTGTTAACGTTTCTATCGTGATCATATCAGTTCCAGCTGCTTTACCCATTTTCAATGTACCTAATTCCTCACGCACCTCTCCCACACTCACATCTGGTTCTTCTTCACTCCTAAAAGATGTTATCCCTTGCGGCCAAATAATGAAAATTATACCCCCTCTTTTCATAAACATTTAAAACGTTCCTAAAATTTTTTTTGCCATTTTCCCAAATCCTCCAACTCCCCATCTACAAATCCCTTATTTTGTTTTTAAGTGAAAAATCCATCATTCCTTAGGCTTTTTAAACCCTATTCATCTCACCCCAAAATTTGTCTTTTTCTCAGTAAAATTTTTTGACAGTGCCCACCCATCTATATTTTGTTTCCCTTCTGCACTCCCTCCCCACTTCTTACCTTTTTTTACTCTCCATTACTCACCCTTCTTATATAAATTTGTCTGAAAAAAATTCTATATGCCCCTTTTTCTGTTTTTCACCCCCTTTTACTTCCATCCCACCAATCACTCCTTTTCCTCCTGCATCCCGGCTCCTATAACCAAACTTTGCTCTTCAACCCCCACCCTAGTTACTCTCATTAGCCCTTTCTCCCAACGCTGCTTATATCTCACCCAACTTCCTCCTCCCTTTTTTTTATAAATTTACCCCTTTTACTTGCTGTTGCCATTTTCCCTTTTTCTCCATCTACCTTTACTCTAATGTGATAAAACTAAAAAATTTATCCAAAAATGTTGCCCTTTTTTTAAACTGCACACCCTTTGAGTTATCACAACCTTTTTTTCCACCAATAAATCTAACGAACTACTTTCATTAATGCTATATATTCTTGTTTTTATTTATCCCCTTTTTTTAAAATATGTTTTACTTATTTCCAACCTCTTTCTATACATAATTTAATTTTAGCCCCCCCCCCCCTGTATTTTCTTTTCCCCAAAAATTACCTACTACTCCCTCCCCAAAATTTTACCCACTTTAAAAATTTTTGGTCCCCCATCCCAAATACTCTCCACTTCGTTCAAAAATCCACACACACTCACTCGCATCTCCCAAAACCCTCTCTCTCTCCTCTAACTTTTCCAGGTGCATTTTCACTTTTTAAACATATTTTTAATCCCATCCTTATTTTTTCCACATAAACCCTCTCTTCCTGCCATAATGTCCTACAAATTATTGCTACTCCCTTCCCTTTTCTCTGCTCTATTAGAAACTCTTGACCTAATCCCATTTATTTCTCCTCACTGAAAACTCTCCTACCCCTTTCGGCTTTGCTTCGCTAAGAGTCAGGATATCCAGTTTCTTTTCATTCGTAACATCACTTCTTTCTTGTCATCCACACTGCATCCATGCACACTCAAACATCCCAACTTAGAGATCTTTTTATTTTTAGCAAGTCGTACGGGAAGAGGAGTTACTAGCCCATTGCTCCCGGCATTTTAGTTGACTTTTACAACATGCATGGCTTACAGAAGAAAAATTCTTATTCCACTTCCTCATGGATATGTAAGGAAAATAATAAAAACAAAAACTATTAAGAAAAACCAAATAACTCAGGTGAGTGTGTATACATAAATGTGTATATACATGTACAGTGTGACCTAATTGTAACAAAACATAGCAAGATATACCTGTTATCTTGTGTTCATGAGATAGGGAAAAAAGACATTAGCACTCCTACCATCATGTAAAACAAATACAGGTTTCTGTCTTACACTCATTTGGCAGGACAGTAGTACTTCCCTGGGTGGTTGCTGTCTACCAGCCTACAGATCAATTAATTTTCTAAGTTTCTGTATCCATGTGGGTTATTATTGAGCACTGACAAATGTTCATTTCACTTCAGTTATTCAGTCCTACATATATTTAATGATAACCAACCTTCATTTTGCCATGGACATCATCTCCACCATCATGGTCAATAGCTTTTCTTCGTCTTCGTCGTTCTTCTCCCCGGAATCCTTCATCTCCAGCTCCAACATCTACTGACCCACTAGTTTCTGATAACAGTGGCAAAACTAGGCTCTCTAGATTATCCTCACCATGCTCACGTTTGATACGTTTTCTAGCACGTCGTGGTTCTTTTTTTCTACCTGAAATAGGTTTCAAAATTCTTTGTCTTAATCTCATCTAAAAAATTTAAGGCAAATATGAACAATAATATATTTCAAATGGATTATGCTTTAGTGAAAAAATAATAAAACTCATAAAATGTATGACAGGTATTTTGCTTTAAGCATGATTAAGTTTCAATCTTTTAGCAACTTTTGTGAAAAAAATTTGTCACCAAGTATTTCTAAAAACCAAATGAGGAACATAAATGAACAATATTCTGGTAAAAGCAATACTGTTCTATACAGTACTGCATTTGCAAAGATAGATCTGAATAAAAAGAGGCTCAGGTTCCTGTTCATAAATTTACTAATAAAATTTAATCAGTAAAGCATGTTATTTTTTTTTTTCAACAAGTCGGCCATCTCCCACCGAGGCAGGGTGACCTCCCAAAAAAATAAAGAAAATCCCCAAAAAGAAAATACTTTCATCATTCAATACTTTCACCTCACTCATACATAATCACTGTTTTTGCAGAGGCGCCCAGATACAAGAGTTTAAAAGCATATATAAAGATACATAACATATCCCTCCAAACTGCCAATATCCCAAACCCCTCCTTTAAAGTGCAGGCACTGCACTAACCATTTCCAGTACTCAAGTCTGGCATATAAAAATAACCGGTTTCCCTGAATCCCTTCACAAAACATACCCTGCTCAAACTCCAACAGCTCGTCAGGTCTCAAAAACCATTCGTCTCCATTCACTCCTATCTAACACGCTCACGCACGCTTGCTGGAAGTCCAAGCCCCTCATCTACAAAACCTCCTTTACCCCTCCCTCCAACATTTTTGAGGATGACCCCTATCCCGCCTTCCTTCCCCTACAGATTTATACGCTCTCCATGGCATTCTACTTTGATCCATTCTCTTTAAATGACCAAACCACTTCAACAACCCCTCTTCAGCCCACTGACTAATACTTCTATTAACTCCACACCTCCTAATTTCCACACTCCAAATTTCTGCATAATGTTTACACAACACAGTGCCCTTAGACAGTGACATCTCCACTGCCTCCAACAGCCTCCTCGCTGCAGCATTTACAACCCAAGCTTCACACCCATATAAGAGAGTTGATACCACTGTACTTTCATAGATTCCCCTTTTTTTCCTCCATAGATAACATTTTTTGTCTCCACATATGCCTCAAAGCACCACTCATCTTTTTTCCTTCATCAGTTCTATAGTTAACCTCATCCTTCATAAACCCATCCGCTGACACATCATCTCCTAAATATCTGAAAACATTCACTTCTTCCATACTCCCTCTCTCCAATATGATATCCAATTTTATTTTATCTAAATCATTTGATACCCTCATCACTTACTCTTATCTATATTCACTTTTAACTTTCTACCTTTACACACCCTCTCAAACTCGTCCACTTATCTTTGCAACTTTTCTTTAGAATCTCCCATAATGAAGATAAATGGTTCAGAGAACTGACAAGTTGATAAATTAGACATGTGCAACACTTGGGTATCTTTAATGAGGAAACGTTTCACCACACAGTGGCTTCATCAGTCCATACAGGGAATTCTTCACTTGCCTAACCCTTGGGCATGACCTACTTCCACATTGGACAAATGTGACACCACCTACGACTGCTGCACCTCTCCTTCCTTGGGTATATAAGCTACTTCTTTGCACATAACTGTATTCTTTTCAAGATTGATGGACTGACCACATTGACTCAAGGCTGAGGGACTGATTACCTCAAACTCCTCCTGTTCTTCACCGTGCTCCTTTGTATGGACTGATGAAGCCACTTTGTGGCGAAATTTTTTCCTCATTAAAGATACCCAAGTGTTGCACATTTCTCTAATTTATCAATTTCCCATAAACACAGTATCATCAGCAAAAAGTAACTGTGTCAACTCCCATTTTGTATTTAATTCCCCATAATTTAATCCCACCTCTCTCCCCAACACTCTAGCATTTACTTCTTTTACAACCCCATCAATAAATATATTAAACAACCATGGTGACATTACACATCCCTGTCTAAGACCTACTTTTACTGGGAAGTAATTTCCCTCTCTTCTATACACCCTAACCTGAGCCTATCCTCATAAAAACTCTTTACAGCATTTAGTAACTTACTATCTATTCCATATACTTGCAACATCTACCACATTGCTCCCCTATCAACTCTATCATATGCCTTTTCTAAATCCACAAATGCAACGAAAACTTCCCTACCTTTATCTAAATACTGTTCACATATGAGGAGTTTTGAACCAAGTGTGAGAGTAATGGTGGTTGGGGGATTTCAATGCTAAAGTGGGCAAAAATTTTGTGGAGGGAGTAGTAGGTAAATTTGGGGTGCCAGGGTTAAATGAAAATGGGGAGCCTTTAATTGAGCTATGTGTAGAAAGAGGTCTGGTAATAAGTAATACAGTAGGGCCCCACTTATACAGCGGGTTAAGTTCCAGGCTGTCACTGGAAAGCAGATATCGCCAGAAGGCAGAACGCCATTTTTTTCCATTTATAAATGCATATAAATGCCAGACAAAAAGTTACACTAAATTATATTAAATTAGTAATAGAACTAGGCATTAAAACCACACAAAGTAAAATACATTCACAGTATATTCATTATTATCTTAAAGTTTTGTAATCTTAATGTAGGGAGAGGGGTGAGTAGTACTTATTTTTAGGAAGTCAGGTGCAGGTAGCCCAGGTGTAAAATAGCCCTGGCTCCCCGTCTCATACTTAACCCTTTCAGGGGCCGTCCCGTGATCTACGGCTTTAACGTTCAGGGTCCAAACCGTAGATCTACGTCATGAGCTCAGCTCACTCTGATAAACTGTGAGTGGTAAATTTGGGCCTAGATATGAGAGAATACATCTATGTGGTATGTGTGCACCACATAAAAATAGATCCTGTAGCACGCTGTGTATAATGAGAGAAAAAAAATGAAATCAGGATTTTTTTATTAAAACAGCGACTTTGCAGTGTCTTCTCGTAGTTTTTTTATAGTTCTATTTGCGATTTCTTGGGCTCATTTTATAGAATGGAAGACATATTACAGAAATTTGAGATGATTTTGATTGGTTTTCGCACTGGAAATGGCTTGAAACTGAGCTCAAAGTAGCAGAAATGTTAAATTTTTGCCGATATTCAAGAGTAAACAAACGACCTCACACGTTAAAAACACGCCAGATGGGGGGTCTAATATGCATTCACAAATATGGTGATGATTAATTTTTACAATTATTACAGTATTGCATAACAGTAAATCTTCTATTTTTTGGTGTGAAAAAAAATTCTTTTTGTGAATAAAAAATCAAAATGGAATTTATTTGTAAAGCCTCAAAACATAACTAATGAACAGAGGAAATGTTAGTTTAGTGCCAGGAATACCTACATTGTTTATTCTGGACCCTATTTTGAAATTGGAATATTTTGAACTTTGTGTTAAATTGGCCAAATTAACAATTTCCGATCACTTTAATTTGTAGTTGAAACAGGTGACTTGGTGATTTCTTGTGCTCAATCGATAGAAAAGAAGTAATACTAGTGAAATAGCTAAGAATTTGGTTGACTGGAATAATGTAATTGGCCTAAAATGGGAGTCAAAATCGGCAAAATCGCCGATTCGTAAATATTGCTGACACATCAAAATTCGCGAGAGCATAATTTCGTCAATTTTCCATCAAATTTCGTACTTTTTGTTTTATTACCTTCACAAAAAGATTCTCTACCATTTCATAAGAAAAAATAACAAATTTTTTTTTTGAAAATTCTTGGACACTGGGGCACCACTTCAGATTTGGGCCTTGGACCCTGAAGGGGTTAAAACACTTGAAATTTTGTAAAGTTTCCTGACATAATAGATGTGGTCACGGAGAATGTAAACAAACCGGGTGGGGGCGCCGTATTTGAAAGACCGCTTGCCGTATAGCAAATTTTGGTCATAATTTTACATTGCCGTAAAGTGGGGCCTTACTGTACATATATTATGAAGAAGAGGATAAATAAATATACAGTGGACCCCCGCATAACGATCACCTCCGAATGCGACCAATTATGTAAGTGTATTTATGTAAGTGCGTTCGTACGTGTATGTTTGGGGGTCTGAAATGGACTAATCTACTTCACAATATTCCTTATGGGAACAAATTCGGTCAGTACTGGCACCTGAACATACTTCTGGAGTGAAAAAATATCTTTAACCGGGGGTCCACTGTACAAGGTATGATATAGCATGTAATGAAAGTATAGTTTGTTAGATTATGTATTGGTGGATAAAAGGTTGATGGGTAGGCTCCAGGATGTACACGTTTATAGAGGGGCAACTAATATATCAGATCATTATTTAGTTGTAACTACAGTGAGAGTAAGAGGTAGATGGGAAAAGAGGAAAATGGCAACAAGTAAGAGAAAGGTGAAAGTGTATAAACTAAGGTAGGAGGAAGTTCAGGTGAGATATAAGCAACTATTGGCAGAAAGGTGGGCTAGTGCAAGTATGAGTAGTGGGTGGGTTGAAGAGGGTTGGAATAGTTTTAAAAATGCAGTATTAGAATGTGGGGCAGAAGTTTGTGGTTATAGGAGGGTGGGTGCAGGAGGAAAGAGGAATGACTGGTGGAATGATGAAGTAAAGGGTGTGATAAAAGAGAAAAAGTTAGCTTATGAGAGGTTTTTACAAAGCAGAAGTGTTATAAGAAGAGTAGAGTATATGGAGAGTAAAAGAAAGGTGAAGAGAGTGGTGAGAGAGTGCAAAAGGAGAGCACAAAAGGAGAGAGAGTGGTGAGAGAGTGCAAAAGGAGAGTGGGAGAGGCACTGTCAAGAAATTTTAATGAAAATAATAAAAAAATTTGGAGTTCAACAAGTTAAGAAAGCCTAGGGAACGAATGGATTTGTCACTTAAAAACAAAGTAGGGGAGTTAGTAGCTGGGGAGATGGAGGTATTGGGTAGATGGCGAGAATATTTTGAGGAACTTTTAAATGTCGACGAAGAAAGGGAGGCGG